CAAAAGAGGGATCAGATGGGATTTTACTGCAGATGGAGTGGGGTGGGCAAGAGAAATGTTGTCAGTGCTCTACCTTTCGCTTTACAGCGTGTCAGTGTTCTGCACTGACAGTGAAAGTTCTTTGATTATTATAATATTTGTGGGAGGCGGAGAAGCAGCTCTGTATTTTGGGATTTCAGCAGCAGTTTAGACTTTAAAGAGAACATTTTCAGAGCAGTGAATAGGGAGTTAGATGTGTAACCTGCACTAACAATAACAGGAACATTGGCCAATCAATCTACTAAAAGCTGTAGCACAATTTACCTTTTACCCTTCTGGGTTTAAAGGGATACTATACCATTTGAATTTCAAACTGCCAGTAGATACAATGAAAATGAAAGGATATTCTAAAAAAAACATCAATAACAGGGTCTGTGATTCTAATTTCCTGTACAGTTTGTTGTATGTGACCTCTCAGGTAATCTAGTCTATTCTTCTGCTGCTGCAGGCTTACTCCCTGCAGGATATACTCCAATGCTTTGTCCAGTTTGGTTCTAAATGACTCAAACTTCCAACATTTGCCTTGGGAGCCTGTTGCACTGTCTTAGCCCTCACTGTTAGGATATTTTCCTGACATTCCCCTTAAATATCCATTTACTTAGTTTCCTCCTATCTATAGTTACTGTTATCCATTTATGCCCCTCCTGAATTAAAAAAGAAAACATCACCTTCTTTGGTAGTTAAATTTGACAAATATTTATTAAAATCAGTTGGGTATCTTTTGAATAGTAATAGACTTCCATGAAGATTGTGTTTCGTGTGCTATCATGGATAATGGCATTGTTAATCTGGGATTATTTTTGGGTTATACTGCTCCTACAGCAGTGCAAAGCAAGCCTTGGGGATTGCCAACAGAAGGCATATCACTCCTGAAGTAGTTCAAGATATGCATTCTGCTCTATTCATAAAGAAACCTACCTTTGTGGCCCATGGCCATGGGCAATGTGTTGGGGGTGCTCATCAGGGCACATGCCCTCCCAGATTTCTGGTGGCTATACTGGCTATGCTGCCAGGTGGCTATGCTGCTTCTGCTCCAGCTCCCCCTGTGGCCAGACACCACCAGAGTGCCAGCAGCAGGGAGTGGCTGCCTCCTTCTGTCCCCACTGCTGCCACAGAGAGAAAGGGAGAGAGATCCAAAGGGGGTCTGCACCTCCATTCCCTATTTTTTACCAGAACCTTTAAATTGTGCCCCACCCCCGCTAATAACAGTTACAAGTCACCTATGCCCATGGTGCTTTCTTACGGGGGCAATTCTCACTGGTCAAAAAGAGGTCATTCCCACACAGTTGAAAAGCAGGAAAGGAGCCAAGACTCCTGCTTGGCTCAACAGGTATATTAGGGAACTACCAAAAAAGAAAAAAGAAGCATACAAGCAATGGGAAAATGTTTCAGCAGCCTTAGAGTACATTTATATTGCCATGGTCTGCAGATATGAGACACAGAAAGCCAATGCAGGCATGGAGATCCAGCTGGCAACTGAAATAAAGGACAACAAAAAGTCCTTCTATAGAGACATAGACAGCAAGAAAAAAAAATCGAGCTCCAACTGTGGGACCCCTACTGAATACAGAGGAGCAGCTCACAGTTGATCCCCATAAAAAGGCAGAGCTCCTAAATATATACTTCACTTCAGTATTCTTGAAATCAGATGGGGGCTGTTTACCTGTCCAGAGGCCCAGGGAATATGGGGAAGACAACAAACCACAAGAAATCACTCCCAAACAGGTGAGGGGACTCTTAGAACATTTTGAAATTTTCAAGTCTGCTGGAACAGATGACCTGCATCCAAGAGCCATGAAAGAAGTGACTGAGCTTATAGCAGGGCCACTGGTGGAACTCGAGAGTGGTCCCATACAACTGGAAAAGGGCCAATGTGGTACCTATCTTCAAGAAAGGGAAGAGGGATGACCCTGCAAACTACAGACCAATCAGTCTGACTTTAGCCCTAGGAAAAAAATTTGAAAAAATTGTTAAGGAGGCCATCAATTACAAGCTCATAAATGGAGGGGTATTAAGAAGGAACCAGAATGGCTTTGTTGAGGGTAGATCATGCCTGACAAACCTGGTGTCCTTCTATGACCAGGTAACTACCCAGCTGGACAAGGGACATGAGGTTGATATCATTTACTTAGACTTTAGTAAAGCCTTTGATTCCATTTCCTACAAAATTATCTCAATTAAATTGGAGGGTACTGGCCTAGGCCAGTCTACAGTGAGGTGGGTGGACAACTGGCTTAGAGGCCAATCCCAGAGAGTTGTAAATGATGGTATGGCCTCATCCTGGAAGGCCATATCCAGTGGCATCCCCAGGGATCGGCGCTTGGACCCATGTTCTTTAACATATTTATTAATGACTTGGATGAGGTGGTGGAAAGCTCAATGCTTAAGTTTGTGGATGATACCAAGCTGTGGGGAAATGTGGCACATCAGAGGATAGGGTAAGGATCAAGGATGACCTTGACAGACTCGTTTTATGAGCAGAATTGAATCAAATGAGGTTTAACAGGAAGAAGTGCAGGGTTCTTCATCTCAGTAGGAAGAACCTTCACCATAACTACAGAATGGGTGAATGGGATCTAGGGGTCACAACTGACAGGAATATGAACATGAGCCAACAGTGCAATGAAGTCACCAGCAGGGCAAATAGAATTCTGGCGTGCATCAGCCAGTGTGCTGCCAACAAATCCAGGGAGGTGCTTCTCCCTCTGTATTCGGTGTTGGTGAGGCCACAGCTGGAGTACTGTGTCCAGTTCTGGATACTGCTGGAAGGATGTGGATGTGGAACTGTGTCCGGTTCTGGATACTTCAGGAAGGATGTGGATTAGCTTGAGAGGGTACAGACAAGGGCCATCCTTAGGGGCCTTTATAGGCCCCTAAGGGGGTGACCCTATCCTTCTCCAATTAGGGGCCTGGAGGATAAGACCTATGAGGAGAGGCTCCGGGAACTGGGCTTGTTCAATCTGAGTAAGAGAATATTAAGAGGTGATTTGACAGCTGCCTACAAGTACGCCATAGTGAGCACAAAGATCTAGGGGAGCAACTCTTAAGGACGGTACCGCAAAGAAGGATGAAGACCAATGGACATGAGTGAAAAGAGGGAAAGTTTAGGCTGGACATAAGAAAATACTTCTTTTCCATAAGGGTAACTAGAATCTGGAACACGCTTCCAGCAGAGGTGGTGCAGTCGCCATCCTTGGAGGTATTCAAGAGGAGGCTGGATGAGCACTTTGTTGAGCTCGTTTGAGCCCAATAACCTCCTGCCAATGGCAGGGGACCGAATTTAATAATCTTGCAGGTGCTTTCCAGTCCTTCAATTTGATTCAATGATGAAAAGGGAAGTGTCTCACCTCCTGACTACCTGTTACTAGGAGATTTACTCCTCTTGAGAAAACAAGGCATGAGCAGTCCCTGTTTACCGTTGTGGCCTACTCTCAAGTGAGCTGTACAAATATGGAGCAAAGCTTCAGCACCCACTCCCATGCACCCTCACAAAGCCAGATGGCAATCATTTCCTTGGTCATTTCATATCTATGAGCCATGTGCCATAGCATACAATCCAAAGAGAGGGTTGTTTTTTTCAAATTTAAAATGAGAAATCTTTCAAGTTATTAATTAACTCATGAAATTCCTTTTATGCTGTGCCTGTAAAATCATGGGGAAAAAGGATGTGCATGCATGTCTAGGGTTAATAAGCAATTTACAATTAATTACTGAAGCTTATTATGCCCAGTTGTGGCTTCAGTATGTTCTCGGTACTTCTTTTCTATAGTATTCACCAAAATTTGGCTTCTGAGGAGGAACTAATTGAATTTCATGGTTTACACATTACTTGTACACTCATTTTAATCCCCTGCTCTATTTTTCCTTTTACAAATTGTCCCAGAAAAAAAGCCAGAACGTCACCTAATATAAATAAAGGTGTTTGTTTGGTAGGGTATTTTTAATTTCTATCTACAGTCTACACATGGGATCTAATTCTCTCCTAACTTTTCTTTATTCTTGTGTAGATCCACTGAGATCAATAGTACTACAGCAATGTAAAAAGTGATTCAAAATTTATACACGAGTTTGATGTTCAAATGATAGGCAGATTAGATAAACCCTTGCAGACTTTGAGTTATATTGGAGTTCATTTGAAAATTTGGCTCATTATAATTTGTTTTGTTCACTTAACCTTGTATTTTAATGCATTATGGAAAATATTCATGCCCACATCCTTCTCTGTTTTTGCCCTAAAAGAAAAAACATAACTAATCAGAAAACAGAGTTCCTCAATACATATGGAAGCTCTTATGGATAAGTTGCATGCAAAATATAAGGGGTGAAATCATGATCCCAGTGATGTCAATGGGAGGTTTAATTCACCTCCAATTGTCTTACTCCAATATACCCAGACCAAACAAAACCCAACATAGATGACAATGGGGAAGGACAGAATATATATAAACATATGAACAGTGAAGAGTTATATATCCTGACATTTTCTCACATTCACTATTAAATCACTGTCAAGAAAAGCAGAATTGCATGCTTGGCATTTCAAATTGAAATAATGCAAGGAACACCTTAGTCAAATATTTAGTCAACAAATTATGATGAGAAGGTTTTCTTCTCAAGGTACTATATATTAAGTCACACTAAAATGCTGTTTAATTTTTATCGCATCATTTCCTTAAAAAAACAACATAGGGAAGCCTGCCCGGCATTTCCAGAGGGGGGAAATGGACACAGCTTGTTGAAAAGTTCAAGTAACAATTTCAGCATAATTGGATACTTTTCCAGTGGTCGTCTTCTTCTCTGTTAACCACTTCTTAGAGACTGAAATAGCAAGAAAAGTTCCTCAAAATATTATGAAAGTTATTAAAAAGCAATCTAGAGTTCCCATTGTTAGAAGTCTTTGAGGGTAAAAGTTTTACAAGAAAAGCCTCTCTCTTTATAGGTTTGAATGATATCTACTTGCCTCAGCATTGCTGTATCTTCAGAAGACCACTGTCCTATGACAAGACAAAAAATACGTAAGTAACGCTACAACACAGCTGTCTAATAACAAAATGATAACACAGTGCACTCCAACATTAGCTTTGGGCATCTTAAGCTACTAAGAAAAATAAGGTACTCAACACATGGTTGCATTTTTGTAGAGAAATACTGTAACTAGTCCTAAACCAAGCCACCCTTCCCCATCTCAATACAAACCAGCCGTCACAGTGGGCCCTGAGATTGGTAGAACACAAAATATTCTCTTTTTGCCATGCTAGGGTCAAGAATCCTGATCAAAAAAATGGGTCTGGGCTGGAAACCAATCTGCCATGTCATCCAAGAAAATCTGGAAGGATTTTCCTTCAAATATATAGATCCAGAATATACATGCGTCCCTATATGAATCCACAAATGAGACGTATATACAAGATTTGTTTCTAAGGAGGAAATAATGAAATGTTGTGGCTTACACATTATTTGCCCACTGCTTTTAATCCCAACTCTAAATTGCCCTTTACAGATTGCCCCACCCAATTTTCACCATAGGTAAAATTCCCTCAAAATTGGCTTAACAGGTTTGTCTGATACTTAAAAAAGAAGGGAGAAAAATCAATGCCACCACTTAGGTAGGCACTCAGTATGTAAAACTCCCTCACGTCAAATTCTGGCAACATTATAGAAAACTGAAAATATTTCTTCAAGTGGTAAATGTAGGGCAACCTCCACCAGGAGTATTGCTACCAATCCCACATGTAATAAAAGACTTACATGGAATTTAAATAATCCATAGGCCTTGTACTGGCCATCAGTCCAGAGACAAATTTCACCAAAGTGCTTCAAAAGTAAACTAGTGAGGAAATGTCCACTAACTGTTTTCAGTTCTATTAATCTTGTGAGTTTACTTGCAAATATAGTAGGCACAAGATTTTGAGCCATAAATATGATTTCAAGTTTATCAAGTCCTCTTAAATCAGCAGAACTGATTATCTTTTGTAAGGACTCTATTCCCTTACTTATATAGTTTTAATTTGCCTGCCAGTTTCCAACCTGATGAGCCATGGCATCAAGAGAAGATTGATCAACTTTAAGTTTGTTTCCTATGCCTAAGTTATAATATACCATAATATATGCAAAGAATAAGATGCTAAAATTGCATCCTGTGTTACAAATTTGATTCTTCAAGAATTGTTCTAAGGTTAATTTGAATACAATGCTTGAAATAATGCATAATCCAATACATTATATTTTTAATACTATGTTGTAAATATATTGTGATATGTTATGAAAGTTGCAAATAAAATATGCTTTCATTTGCAGTTATAGTCTCAAGCTAAATTAAAGCATCAAATTTAATTAATTAAAACCCAACTTACTGTTCTTGCTGCCTGATCTGTTCGGGGCAGGCAACAATGATTTTTCCTAATCTTCTGATTCAATATCAATTCCATCTCTGGAGAAAAAACAAGGTGTATGTACTCAAAGTATTGCAGAGAAGCAGAAAGAAATGTTCCTTAAAGTACTTTAAGTGCTCTCTAGAGCTAAGCAGATTTGAGACATAGCAAAGGGAATATTTTTGCCAAAACCCTGTCTTTCACTTATATAATTCACACCTAAAAACAAGAAAGCATGGTTATAATGAATGGTTCGGTGTGAGAGGAGCAATGTAATATGTGGAATTTTGAACTATGCATTTTACATGCTCTTCGGATCCTTATTTCCAAATGCGAAGAGTGCATAAGGGAAGAATAAAACTTTATTAAGTATGACCTTAAGTTACAGAACAAGGTTTAATAACCCTTGCAGCAGAGGACAATGACCACCCTTGTCTCCCTTCTTTAGGGTGCTTGGGATATCTTTGGGCAATATACATCATAGTTGATGTCAGGGTTCATTGTACAGTTTTATTTTAGGAATATGTGAGGCAAGGACTTACAGAATGGTTTCCATAGGGATGATGCAGCTTTGAGCAGGGAGTTGGACTAGATGACCTCTGAAGGGGTCTTGTAGTCCTGTTTTTCTATGAATCACTATCTGGCTTATGCTTATAAGCAAGACTGAGTTAGGATAGGGGAGGTGCCCTACTAACTACTGCTGGTTCAAGAAGTACCTGGCCTGTAGTTCTTTTTTACAGAATCTTTAAGTTTAGCCATTTCCAGAACAACATAAATAAAATTTACTAAAGAACAGTCAGTATCCTGAATATGTGTAATTGTTGTTATTATCCATGTTTCAAAATAATTGCAGATATATATAGGTTTCCATTTGCTGCTTCGCTCTTCCCTTCATATTTTCCACAGACATTTCTGTTCCCACATCTTTCCCTTAAGTTTGCAATTCACCTCTTCACATCCCCTCCAGCCCTCAGCTGCTTACAACATTCTCCTTCAACACCATGTGGAATCATAGGCACCAACTTTTATTTGCTGGGGGTGGGGACCCTAACATAATGTCCCACCCCACCGGCAACACTGAGCCAAGCAGAGCCTGTAGAGGGTAGAGGCAGATCAGGGCACCCTACACTGCTGTCTTCCCCCTGCCAGGAGTCCCACACCAGCCACACGGTCATGGTGAGGCAACCCTTGCCGGTCCAGCAGCAGCGGGTTGGGCACAGAGGTGCCAAACGGTGACCCCCCACTGCTACTGAGTGGACAGGGGGTGCCTCGCCATGGCAATACTGCAGCGTCAGACTCCCAAGGGGAAGGCAGCAGCACGGGGAGTCCCAAGCCCACTGTGGTGAGCCTGCATGTGCTTCCACCATGTGCACAAATCTGGGGGGCATGTGCCCCCCATTCCCCCTTCCCTGGGAGTGAGTGCACACAGTGGTAGGGAGCTGTACCCCTCCCCCTGCCCCCTGAACAAGCCACCCATAGCTCTGTTTGACTCCCTGCCCTGGCCCCAGACCCCATGCACTGTCCTGGCTAGGCAGCACCCTCAGGTCCAGCCCCTGCCCCACTCCCTCCCTCACCATGGGGGTCTCAGTCTGTCCCCCCATAAACTTGACTGCAGGCAGCTAGAAGAGATGCTCTCCACTGCTGCCTAGGGCTGTATTCCTGGCCACATGTGGGGCTTGCTTTATTCCAATCCCTGCAGCCCCTTGCAGGGGCCTACAGCAACCTGGTTTTGTCAGTCTTCAGTTAGGGATGGGTGATCATCCTGGCCTATTCCCAAAAGGGGCCAGGGCTCTCAGGCCCCCATGTACTCAGTGCCTATGTGTGGAGTCAAAGTCAATGGATCCCATTGCAGATGACCCTTCCCAGCCCACTTCTTCTGTCTTTTCAGTCACCAACTAAATTCACAAAACTAGAGTCTTAGAGAATTGCAGGGAAATTGAACTGTCACCGTTCAGTGATTAATTCCATTCTTGGTTAGTGAGAGCACCTGGGACTCCTTCAAACAGTGGCAGTCAGCACCTTCTTTGAGGAAGAAAGTATATCATAATTCAAAAGCACACTATCTTCTGGAAGGTACTTCAGGCACCAGCAGTCATTGCAACCAACCTTTCCATTCACTAACAATTCCCTCCAACTCCTGTTATCTACCATCAGTATTTTGGATTCCTCCCAAATGAGCATGAAAATAGGACATGGAGTGGAATGGGTCACTTGTGCAGTCCCACAGTACTAATTTTCTCCCTTATTCTATCCAATAGCTCAGTGAAATGACTAGGGCAGTATGTAGAACAGCATGGACTACAATTCCAGCAATCAATAGGTATCTTTAGCACATCAGACATAAATGGAAGCAATGTTCTACCAACCCAAGGGACTATTTGAGATCTATAATTGGAGGAGAGCAGCTAACATTATGGGTGCAATTCAGTGGTTCTCAACCACTTTAGACTCAAGGCACCCCTGGTTAGACTTGATGCACTCCTACTTAGATTCAAGGCACCCCTCATAAAATGTCAGCTCTTTGTTTTCTCTAATTCATTTATTATGGAAAAAATAATAGAACAATTCTTCGGTTGCAAAGAAGTCAGAAAGCGTATGGCAGGACAGAATGCTCTTGACACTATGGATTCCAATTTGAGATCTCTGGGTTTATCTTGTGAGTCATGTTTGCACAACTACCAGTGCTAACATTGCATGGCACCCTGAAGCACCCTTGCCTGAATTCAGATAAAGGAAGCTGAGAGAATTGGGTTGTCTGTGCACACATCCCCCGACCAAAACACAATTCATTCACTGATGTCCTTTTCATCTCCACAAAAATTAATGTGGAGAAAAAAATTGTTGGCTGTTATCATTCATAGTGATAGACAGCCACTAAATGAGATCTGCAAGTGAAGCATAGCATTTAGCTAAAACAGAATTGTAAGAAGACAAAGGTAATGCTAGTGAAAGAGGAAAGCACTTGGATATCTGTTCCAACACAGATAAAGCAAATTAGACCATGGAAATGGATTCTTCATTGCTCCTGGCTTCTCTATAGCTAAGAACATGAAAAATGCCCTTTATAAAGTAACTGGCAAGAAAGCACTACTTCTTCATTTTGGAGTTGGACCTGGTCTCTTGGACCCACATATTCATGACCACTAGATTTGATTATTCTAATTCATTATTCTTGGATATTAAGGCATAAACATTTCAAAGAACTACAGTGAACTGGGAGCACAACAACATATCTACTCAGTGAACCACAAAGCATCCATCCACACAGCACTCCATTTCCCTTTCCAATTTCCCATTAAGAGTTAGATCAAATTCAAAGTTTCAGTCCATCTATTCACAGCCTTCCATGAGACAGTGCAAAAGGAAGCAGCGCATGCTACCTTTTTTTCCCTTTTCTTAATGCCTGCTCCTCATAACAACAACAAATGAAATTTTAAAAGATGAAGGTTTAAATGACAGCTACATATAGGGAAGGGCTAATTTGTCACAAAAGCCAGCCTTAAAGGTGAAATATGACCCGGAGAAGAAACCTTAATCATGTCCATTTCTATTTCAACATTTTGAACCCACCATGTTCAAATCACTTGGAAAAAAATATTAAGACATCATTTCCCCCATCCCTAACTAAAAGTATTATAAAAACAAACAAACAAACAACTGGGTTTAATTGCTATTTTGTGTCTGGGTTCTGATGAAGCGTGGAAAAGGGGCATTAGAATTGAGACAACTAGTTTTGAATCGTGTGAGGTTACAGACATTGTAGTAATACCATTTTATATCACAAGTCTTGTCTTCTCATGCCCCCCATTCCCCATACTAAGGTGTAAAATGTGATATCAGAATAGTGATAATGAAGAAATAACTGGTTCAGCCTGCAGGTTTATAGTGTTTACATTGTTCATACTGGTGTCCCTTAATGTACAAATGACTCATCCTCCCTTTGCTGTATCTCATGTAACCTTCTACTAATCTACAGTATATAAACTTATTAAACAATTCTGCTTCAAAGTTTTTTCTTCAGCTGAAACACCAGTCAATTTCCTTCTGGTTCTTAGAACTGCTTTTCAAAGAATCAAAGTAACTATATAGTCCTCTTTAAACAAATAAGGTTAGCTACCCTTTTGCCATTCACAATTCAACATTCACACTAAATTAATTTTTCCAAAAGTAATTCAAATAAAAGCTTTGCTGCTGCTACCCGTTTCAGAGCTACAAGATTGAATAAGGCATCTGAATAAAATTGTGTATTACAGCCTTCTTTAATATTTAAGCATGACATTCATTGATTTGTTTCTTGTTTTCTGCAAACCTTGACAACATGATAAAATAAATCATAAGAAGAAAATATAGTGGTAACATCTTTTATGGACTTCACATAGTCATCAATCTCAAGCTGTGAGTGAATTATCAGTGCAGCAAAAAGATCTATGTTTTAAGAGCTCCAATAGCATACTAGCTAGAGGTTTTTCACAAGCAAACTCAAGGCGAGTGACTGATAAGCATCATTATTGTTTTCTGAGAGTCTAGTTTATAGTGTGTTGTGGAGGTGTTGGCATATATGTTTCAGAAGGAAAGGTTTGATCAATTCTAAGTAGACATCTACTAACATATAAAAAATATAACAAGGGCTCCTGCTGAGCAGTATTAAAGTACCTATCGCACCATGTCAGCGTGACAGGCCCCATGTTGTGTTTTTGATTATATTTAATATAGAATTAACCTTTCTTAATGTAACGTATTGTGTATGCAACATGGATCAAAATATTTATTTCAACCAATATACAGAGCTCCTTTATTTAGATTTTAAGCAATATTTATTTATTTTTCAATTTATAAAACTTCCCACCAAAAATCTTCAGGGACCCAAAGCATCTAGGAGAAATAATACCCAAAGCTCTTAAAGTTTGTGAACCAGTAGGACATTCAGAATGTAAGCCATTGTAAACATCATATACAGCTATGTAACAAAGATGTGGGACAAGATAGCACTAAGGGCTATAGTCAACAATACTTTTTGATTAATAAATGTAACTGGTGGGCAGGGGGGCTGAACACAACT